GGAAGAAGGTGCCTGTTGCTGGTCCAACTTTAACAGGAAAAGAGTAGGTGAATCCAGTGTCACTCAGCAGAGAATGATTTCATTAACAGTGGTCAATTACAGCAAGGTTCTAATGCATTAGATCAACAAGTGCCCACATGGGCGACCTCACCAATATGATTTGAATAAAAGCATCAAGTTGCAGAAATGCAGTATGATATTATTTATGCAAAATGCTAAAAGCCTGCCACTTAATAACATATATCATTTTGGCTGACTTTCTCCCTGTGAGGTTTCAATGGGACAATGCTTCTAGAGAGCCTGGGGCAGCACCTGGCAAGAGTGAGCCCACGTGAATATCAGCTACTGTCTGTATCGAGAAAAAAAAAACCTCTTGATTGTTGAAGGCACTGTTATTTGGAATTTCAGTTCTGCTGAGGCAAACCTACATTTTACCTAGTAAAAGTGGTTGTGTACCATTTCATACTTTTTAAATTTATGGAGAATATTTTGAAGTTAAAAAAAAACTAAAGTACACAGGAAAGAAAAATAATGGGCACTGTTAGGAGAAATTCTGTTCTGGGCACATAGCAGGCTTGTCAAAGGAGACAGTGGGTGCAGGCCCGCACTGAGCAAAAGTGAGAGAGCTCAGGGTCTCTTGGAAGCCAGAGAAAGATGCTTTAGGAGACAAGATCTCAACAACCACAAGCATGTTTATAACAGGATTGGGTGATTTTCCGTCTTCTTGTTTCAGTTTTCAAATCCACTTTGCCCATATACAGCTGACCCTTGAACAACATACATTTGAGCTCCATGGGTCCACGTATAGGTGGGATTGCTCCAATTAACAACACAGTATGGTGCTGTCAACATATTTTCTCGTCCTTATGATTTTCTTACTAATGTTTTCTTTTCTCTAGCTGACTTGATTGTAAGAATACAGTATTTAATATGTATAACACTCAAAATATATGTTAACTGACTATTAAATTATCAGTAAGACTTCCTGACAACCTTAGCTAAGTTTGAGGGGGGGTCGTCAAAAGTTATAGATGGATATTCAACTGCATGGGGGTCAGTGCCCCTAACCCCCATGTTGTTCAAGGGTCAAGCTGTATATAGCGCACAGTGCAAAGAAAGCCTCTCTTTTCATGTAGACAACAATGAAGGAGATGGGGCAGCCAGCTCTGGTCACAAGAAAGGCAAAGGACGGTTTGCAACCGTGAGCCATGGAGGGGTGTGGAGCAGCACTCTGGCTTGGTGGGAGCCCAGCTGCCCAGGGACAAGGGGCCAGTGGGCCTGTTTCTCCTAAGTGGGTCTGTAAGACCACTGGCTCATAACCACACAGCAGGCTGGATTGGTGGAAGGAGGAGAAAACCACCCCAGTGACTTCCCATCTGCACATGCTGCAAGTGATTTTCTGGTGGAGACATCACATATCTTGTGGTCATATTAATATTTTTATTCTTCCTTTTGCCATTTATACATTCAGTTTTTATTACTCCTCTTTATCAATTTAAATTAACTGGAAGTCTAAATGAGATGCCTGCCTTAAATGATCAGGACTTAACGTCTCCTGAAGACTCAAGCAAGAAGAGCTCTCCAGATGGAAGCCCCAGGGATGGGAGGGACAGGTGTGGAGCAGCTCTGCTAGGCCTGGAGGTCTCCTGCCTCCTTGGTGCTTTCCTTTGACCTGACTGTGATCACTCCATTCTGTGCTGAGTCCTGGGGTTCTCTCTGCCCCTGTTTTCCTCTTTTGCTCACATGGACTCTGGGCACAATCTTATTTCCCAGCACAGGAACCCTAGCATCTCAGGTTATCTGGGTGGGGCCCCATGAGGCGGTGTCAAGCTGGAGGTACAGGGCCCTTAGGAAGTGGTCTGGAAGCCAAACGGGCAATCCTGGGCAAGATGGTGCAGGACAGTTGGAAGGTAGGGCAGAGTTAGGCTGGGCAGTGAGTCAGACCACCTGGAAGGTATTGAGCTGTGAGGTCAGAGAGAGGAAGCTGGGAGGAATGCCATGCCTGTGTCTGGGACAGAGATGGTGGTTTCGGCTTGCCTGCTGCATCACCTTTGTCTCCACAGGGAAGAGCTGGTGGTTTGGTCCTGGCCACTGCTGACATTTCCTGATTTCCAAAAGGAATGCTTCCAGAAATACAGGGTTTTGGTTGAAGGAATCAGGCCCATTTCAGTGAGCCGTTACTGAAACCTTCCTATGTGACCTGTATGGGGCACTCTGTGCAGGTAACATAAAAGTGGGCCTAACAAAAGTCCTGCTTCTCCCAGGAGACAAGCACTTATTACTCAGGTTAGTGAGACAAAGTTTTGCCATGGGACTTAAGACAGACTTAGAGAAAAAGTACATTTGGCCTGGGCATTGAAGGATGAATAGGAGTCCCTAGAGAAAAGGCATCCCAGATCCCAGATGGAGGGGTGGCCAGACAGAAGGCTGTGACAGGCTGCTGTATGCTCCCAGATGGGGATCATATACCTCTGGGTCTACTCAGGGCCTACAAAATGTCTGTGCCTATATCTTTCAGGTTTTGACAGGGTAAGATACATATTCACTCTTCTCATTCCTTGGCTTGATATGCTTCTAATTCCTTCTTGATATGCTAGTAGCTCTCAGCCTGGAAAGGAAGACCACTCCAGACCAGTAAGGACTTGGCAAGTGTGTAAACACACTTGTAAGAGTAGTGTGTCCATGCACCTGTGATCCCAGGTCTGGATGTGGCCAGATGCTGACTTCCTCTTAGCTGCACTGTGAGGACCCGTGTGATGCACAGAGGTCTAAATCATCCCTCCTGTAAGATCATGTGAGGGCCTTCCCTTGGATGGGGAAGACATTGACATATGTAGGACAGATCTGTGTTCTTTGGACCCTTTCTATGGCAAAGTGTGAGTGGCCTCAGTGGGCATTTGCTGGTTCTGTTGGGACGCTTGCAATCTATCCATGTGTGTCAGGATTCTACTTCACACAGGTCTCCACAGCCTGTCCCCACAGCTGAAAATCCACAGCAACATCCTTATGATTGCAAACACTCCTATCCTATCCCAAAACATGCACAATCATTCTCAGGCTAAAAAACCATATCACTTAAGCTTCAGTTTGTGTAAACTTAAAGCCATCTGAGAAATGATATGACCTCTTTCTTTCCTTTCCTTTCTTTTTTTTTAAATTGGTTTTGGTTAATGTGCTCTATTAAAGTGTGATTGACATACAAAAGCTATAACATTTGATGTCTACAACTGAGAGTTTGGAGATGAGTGTACACCAATGAAAGTATCACTATCATTATAAATAACACAATACAACCTGTCAGGATGGAGTATGGTGGGGGACAATAAAACAGTGACCATGAACTTTGCCAAAAGAGAAAAATCACAAACAACCATGGAGGATAAGACACAGGGATGCTCACATTCCCTGGAACAAGGAGACGAAGTTCTCAGGGGAGAGCATTAGCTGAGGGCACCTTGCAGCATTTCCTAAATGTGGGCAACCCTAGAATTGCAAAACTTGGGTTGGAGAGACCCAAATCATGGGAAGGACACCAGCTCTGAGGACCTTTGTGCAGTGAGGACAGGCTGTCAGCTTCAAAGCAGTCTTCTCTCTGTCTGTAGGTTCATCTGGTCACTGATGCCTGGGAGGTCTACAAACCCTGCACTAGACATGGAGTTCTGACCCCTTCCCTGATCCAGTGTGGCTCCCACACACCATCCTCAGCCCCAGACCTTACCTTACACTTGAGTGACTTCTCCTGGTGATTTAGCTGCATCGCCCACCCCCACCTTCAGGGACTCACTCTGAACTGTGCTCCTCAACATGTGGTCCAGAGACTAGGACCATCAGCATCCCCTGGGAGCAGGTGAAGTCCCTGGGAGGAGGTGAAGATGCAAACTTTCCAGGGCTGCCTGACTGACTGGGTCAGAATTCTGGCTGGGGAAAGGCCCAGGACTCTGGGTGTCCACAGGCCTTTCAGGGCATTCTGGGCCCCCTGAGTTCACAAGTAGTGGCAGACAAACGCTGAAGCCTTTCACAAGCACAGAGCTGAAGCCTCGTTTGGAAAGATGTGCTCTTTAGTCCTTCCAGAGCCCCATCTGCTGCTCCAGATGGAGGCTGTGAGGGTCCCTCTCTAGAACCCAGACTCTGCACACAGGAATGGTGTCCACTGAGCCTTGAGGACCTTCACCACGAGAGGGCACTGATGCTCACCTAATGGTCACAGCTCAGCCATCCCTGGGAGCTCACTGGCTTTGTTCTGTGTCTGTTTCTCCCTCACTCCATCCTCCCTCTTCTAGAGCAAACTCCTACAAAGGGATCTATAGGCCCAGTGTGTGTCAAGGCTCACCCCTGCTGCAACACCTTTGGAGCGCATGTGCTTGCATCATCCAGCCAGGCCCCAGGCTGAGCACATGGCAGCACATCCAGGGGCCAAGAAGTCCAAAGGGAGATGCAGTGAGCTCAGCTGGAAGCTTCTGGTTCCAGGACCCTGAATTCCCCTGGCCTGGCATCATCCCAGGAGCCAGTGAGCCTTCTCTGCTCTACTACTCAAGGGGGACTGGGGAGCTGAGGGGGACACAGACACTTGTACTCATCAAGACCTCAGTGCTTCTTTCTTCCAAAGATACCCATTTTCTCTGTGCAGGTTGCCTCTGTCTCCCCCAAATTTGGCTCTTGATCACTCGTCCTTTTTGGCTCTGTCCTTATCTCAGTGGCCCTCCCCCTACTGCTAAGTCCTGGGGTCACCTTCCACTTCCACCTCTTGCTCTTGTGTCCTTGTTTCAGCCTCTGATTCTGGGGCATCCAAATAATATCTCTGCCCAGCGAAGAGCTGAGAGGGATGTTGTGGCAGGGACTCAGCTACAGGGGACCCCTCCCTCCCATTGCTGGTTCTTTCCAACCCACCCTGCCTGGGCTTGTTCCTGTCTCTGGATAGGAGGCAATTATGCAGCTTGGAATGGGGAGGCAGGGTGATGTGTGGGAAGGGACAATGTGTGATAGCAGGGAGGATATACAGAGGAGGAGTTGTTCTGAAGCTATTATACTGGACCAATGCCCAGAGAGGCTCAGGTAGGAGCCTGAGCTGGGAAGGCAAAGGCCATGGTTGCCCAGATTCCTTCAGCCATGCTGCACTGGCAGTTCAGATGGGCTCTGCCCTGGGCCTTTCTCCTGCTACTACTAAGTTCCCAACTCCTGGTGACTCACAGATGGAGTTCCCAAGAGAAGGGGGACAATAATGAACAAAGGGACATGGAACGTCATTTCCCTGCCACTGTGGAGTATGCCTTACACATATTCAACCTACAGAGCAAGGACTCAATGGCCTACAGGCTGGTGCGCATCTTGAATTCCTGGAAGGAACAGGTAGGTGACCACATCTTCCTGCCTGATGACCTGCACTTGCCATAAAGTCAGGGTTTTGGGAGGAGGGGTCTTATTGAGGGATCTTGTTCACCATCTGAAGTCCATAAAACAGGGAAAATACAACCTGTCCAGTTAGATTCAGTTTTATAAAATAAAAAATTTGGAAATTTAAATACCTCAGACAACATCTACTCTCATATAAGGTGTATTTTCAATCTTCATCATTTTATAACATTAATGATGAATGACCTCAAAATATAACCTATGAGGTGATAAAGATCCTGACCAAGGAAAAGATCCACAGATGAGATCCATTGAGGAAATATTCTAAGGAACAAATACAAGGAGATGATTAGAAAACAGAGAGCAGACACTGAGAGAGAGGGAGGGAGCAGGGCTTGAGGGTCAGGGCAGTAAGGATTCTCCCTCATCCAGAGTAGCCTCTGTGACCTCCGGGCCTCTTCTCTGGGCTCCTCCCTGTGGTCTCCACCTACAGGGATGGATGCTATTCTATACTCTTCCCAGACCATGGTTCTCAATATCCTAGAGCATTGTCCTTATAATGGAGTGTCTACAGAATGCAGCCAAGAATGCTGTTTTCACATGGGCTGCATCAGGAGCATATATGGCCATGTGTGTTTGGGGGGGTGAGAGGGTGTAGGTATGACTGTGTCAATGAGTATGTGTGTGTATGTGAAAGTGTGAGTTGAGTGAGTGTGTGTCTCTTTGTGTGTGTCTGTATGTACATGTGGATGTGAGTGAGTGTGTGTTAGTGGGTGAGTGAGTTTGTGTTAGTATGTGTGCAAGTGTGAGTGTGTAGGAGTGAGTGTGTGAAAGTGTGTATATGTGTGTCTGAGTGTATGTCTGTGAGTGTGTGTGCATGTGTGCACGTGTTAGGGCCTGGGCCATTCCTTTCTCTCCCTCTGGACCTCTGCCCTGAGACCCTGAGGGAAGGGCAGTGGGAGCTCCACCCTGCAGAGAGCTCCAGCCTCTGTGACCACTGCTGGGTCACATCCCGGCTGGTTCTGCTGCCTAAGCTCTCTCTGAGTTCTGCTCTGGGCTCCTAGATCTGCACTCACACTGAGTTAGGGTGTGGGGAGTAATGGAGGGTGGAGTGGGGGATATAGGATGGAATGAAGTAGACAGAGTGGAGAAGAGTATAGAAAATTCCAGCTGCACTTTGTAATAGGACAAGAGGTATCCAGAAGCCATAGTTGGTGTATGTATGTGTGTGTGTGTGTGTGTGTGTGTGTGTGCGTGTGCGCGCTCATGTGCTCAGTGTTCCAGGAACATGCAGGACATTTTCCTGTTCTCGGGCAGGTGAAAGGTGTGCCAGTGGAGTCATAAATGAGTCTCCTACTCTGGGGCTGACATTACTCAGCAAAACTCTTGCAGAGCCAACACCTTCCCAGGCACTTGGCACCTGTCTCCTGAGAGTGCGTTGTAGCTTCAGAAGCATGATGGAAGTCAGGTTGGGTCTCCCTGGCGTATCTGGGGACATAATGCTGCAAGGTGTGATATATGAATGGTGTGTGACTCAGCCGACATCTATCCCTGGCCTCAACAACCTCAACAACCCTCAACAACAAAGGGTTCTTTGTTCTGAATTCCCCAAGTTGGCTTTAACCCCAGCAAGCTGACCAAGGCCCAGAGACAGCTCCCTGTGTGGAGGAGTGTTTGGGGCTCTCCCCACATTGCATGGATCTACACTAGTAGTTGCTCAAGCTAACCAAGAGGTGGGTTGAGACTGTAACGTCTCCATGTACCACAGATAGAAGACATCCTGACATTCTCCATGGAGATAAAGCTTCGCAGAACTAAATGTGAGAAATTTGATGAAGACATTGACAACTGTCCCTTTCAAGAAAGTCCAGAGCTGAACAATGTAAGACACACAGCAGATCCCTTGGGTCACACAGCTGAGGATGCAGCTTGGGACAGATGTGGAGGTGAAGCAAATGACAGTGCCATTCTTAGGGACACAGACGAGTGAGGGAGCTGCAGACACTGCCATGTCCACTGCTGGTGCTGCAGTAGGAACCCAAGTGGGCCAGCCAGCCCCAAGTTCCCCCTTGTAGTCTCCTGACCAATCTGGGAACCAAGTCTGCCCGCTCACCCCATTCCAGCTGCCTGTGCCCTGGGCCACACTGGTATCAGATTGGTCCTGGCAATGAGTGTCCAGGTCTCCTGGGGCTGAGACAGGATTCTCTTCTCTGAGCTTTATCCACTTCCCTTCCTGACCTCCAGGAATAGGGGCATGTTAAGGTGGCCTACAGTACCTTTGCCTCAGTGACTATTTTGGAGTTCCCCTTGGTTCTGTCAACAGTCTGAAGGGGTGGGGGTTAAGGAAGGGCTTACTGCCTTTTCTCCTATGTCCTGACCTGGGTCCCAGTGAACTACCATCTCCTGGTACAAGGGAAAATGTCAGTGTGAACCCCAGCTCTAGGGCAAGCCCACCTTGACCAGAGGCTCCTCTGAGTTAGCACTCACCGGTAAAGAGCACCCCAGTGCTGCATTAGGGGCATGGGTCACACTGAGTCAGCCTGAGTGTTCCCCTGGAGACCACAAGCCAAGGTAGGGAGTATGACACAGGTGCCCCTGAGGTCAGGACAAGGTCCTAGGTCCAGAATATGAAGACCTTGGATGGGGGTACATCAGGACCACAGCCTGCATCCCTAGCTGCTCACCTTGGGGTGGGTGGTTGGGATGTGTGCTGTATTTAAAGCTGGAGCCACTGATTTCCAGTATTCTCTACCCACCCTCCATTCTTGTGCTTGTTCCCTCAGACCATCACCTGCTTCTTCACCATCAGCACTGAGCCCTGGAGGACAAAGTTTGAACTCCTGAACAAGACCTGCTTGGAGGGCTTCCTTTGACTGAGGCCATCCCCACCTGGCCTCTAGCTGTTCTTCTTCTGGACACCAGCATTTCTATGTAGGTGACAACACCAGGTTGTTCTCTTGCAAGTGTCCGGGTCTCACTTCCAGGCATTATGGAAATTCCTCACTGTCCAATTTTTTCGTGTAGAATATATCATTAAATATCTGCATTTCAAGAAGCTTTGTGTGGCATGGTTCCAGAGGGGCTGTGCAGGTGAAGGACTGATCCCAGCAGAGCAGTAGGGTGGGCACATGGGGGTGGGTTCACTTCCCTCTTGGACCTCTGGAGCCAGTCCAGGTGTCACAGTCTGGAAGCACAAGGTACTTCTGAGCTGCTGTCTTGGGGCTCATGAGGGATCACTTTTGTCCCCAAAGGTGCAATGCCCATGACTTGGCAGAGAACCCAAATTGCAAGGTGGACCCAGACAGTACCTCAGGCCCTCAGGACATATGAGGCCCCCCTCTGTGGGTCTTTGGGGGCTTGCTCACACCCATTCCCTGGTCCACACAGCTGTGAGGATGTGGGAGCATCTGTAGCCTCCACCCACAGAGTGGTCCAGCCGCCAGCAGCAGCAGCAAGTCCTGGAGCCTCAGAAATGATCCATTAGTGTCTCCCCACCTTTGCACAAGGAAGCTGCATTTTCTTGAATTCCCAGGAGACCCATGGAAACTTACCATTTGAAAGGCTCTGCTCTCCCACATGCTATGAGACTCAGCCTGAATCCCCTAAAAGAGGATTGGCAAACATTTTCTGTATGTAGAGTGTAACTGTTTTGGCCTTTGTGGACCATATGGCATTGTTCTCAGATCCCCGACTTTGCTTTGAAAGTTCTATAAACAATGTAAACACAAATATGAGTGTTGTGTTCCAGTAAGACTATTTACACAAATAAGCAGGGTCTGCATTTGGTCTTGGAGCTGTGGCTCCCCTCCTCCAACTAGCTGTCCTTCCAGTGCTCATGCAGGTGGACCACTCAGTACCTGACACTCTCCACTTCACTGAAAGATCCTATTCTCCCCTAAGTTCTACTCAGGGCTTCCTCTGTACAACTGGTACCCCATCTGCAGAGTAGGCACACCTCAGTGGGGAGAGGTAGGCCCAAGGACAACACTCCATCCCCACATAGAGCTGCAGCAGGAAAAGGCTTAGAGTTCCAGCACCACAGATGCAGGTCAGAGACAAGATCCACAGGGTTCTCACATAGTCCAGCAGGACCGTGACCCATAACAACAGCCATGTTGACTGTCTCCCTTATCTGCTTCCCTTCCCCTCAGTGTGCCCCTTGTGATCATCTCCCAAATGAACTACCTGTACCTTCCAGTCCACATCTCAGGGTCTCCCTGGGGACTCACAGTACACATGTGGTATTAGATATCTTCAGGGTTCATCCTCTGTAGAGACCTGGATGGGCTTCCCAGGAATGTATGATCTCCCAGGCAGAGCCATGGGGAAAGCCTGACAGTGGGCTTCCTTGCTGCCGGCTGAACATCACTCAGAATGGACACAACTTTGTTCTCCCATAGCTTTCCCATCTGGTAGCAGACTTTAGTACATTTTTCTTGAAGACACTCCCACCAACCAACCTCCTGTTTACCCCCACACTGGACTGTCCTGAGTCAATCCTCAATCTGCAGAAGGAAGCATAAAGGGAGCTCTTTTCCCACTGTGATCCCAATGTATTTTCCATAGCCACTGCACTAATTCTACTTAAGTCCCATCAGGTAGCTCCAGGAGACAGTCTCTTGTGTGTTCAGAGCCCACAAAGCAGGCATCAAGTCATGGCTCCTGGCAGAGACTTGCTAAATCCTGCCTCAGACCACACTTGTGGGGCTTTGTTAATGGTTCTCTGGCCCCAGGGCCTGACAGTGAGTCCATGCTCCAGGTGCTCCAACTTTGTGACAGATGTAGGATTGAGGATCATGTACTGTGGGGAAACCTTTCCTCTCTTACCCTGTCCACCTCTACCTGGCTCCGGAGATCCCGCCCACTTCTCCTCCTTTCAGAGTAGGTTTGTTGAATAAGCCTAAGCTGCCTTCCTGGGGCCAGGAGAGGGAAGAAATCCGAATATCCAGGGAAGGGGACCCAGGCCAGGGCTGTGGAGTGAGCTTGAGAAAACACTGGGAATGGGCTGCCTGGAGCCATCCTGCCTCAGTGAGCAGGGCTGGCAGGTAGAGCCAGATGTCTGCAGCCTTCAAGGCTCTGGTTGAAAGATGAGTATGGCCGTGGCAGAAGCCCTGTTCAGGATCACAATACTCCTCGTGCTTGAGCACACCCTCTCTCCCTAGGCATCAGACCACGGGGAGAGAACACAGGTGGGATTCACCCATGGAAGGTGAGGACAGGGTCAAGTTTAGAGGGGCCCAGGCTCCCACTCTCTGGCTGACCCTCTCTGCCCTAGGCGGTGAGTGACAAAGGCCATTTCCTGGTGTGAAGCCACTGAGAACCCTGGGGACCATATAGCACTGGCCAACTGTGATGCATTCCCCTTGGTCTCCAGGGAGCCCCAGGGAGCTGGCTGGGGGCCCTGGACTGGAATTGAGAGAGCCTGCCCAACTCTGCCACATGCCAGTCCTGCAGCCTTGGCCCTGCTCTTAGCCATCTACACTCCAATTGCCCACATGCCACCCTGGGATAGCATCCTCCATGCTTTCCCCTAAGGGTGCCATTTGGGATAATATTCAGGGTTATGGAGTAGAAGTGTTGTGTTTCTGGCACATTCTCCCTAGTTTGGAGTCACTCTGACTACTTGCTTCTTTCCTTGTCTCTGCTCAGGTCCATGTGCACCTTGTGCATTGGTCCATAGCATCTGACCCTCGGTCACAGGCTTGGGGACAAGAGTTAAGGCGGGCCTTAGTGCTGTCAATGAGGTGACACTAAAGTGCAGATTCTAGGAGTTGTTCTCACCACTGTGATTATCAGTGACCCTGGGGAGGACACACTGATGGAGATGGTGGGCATACATACAGGCCTTGTCCATGGGTGAACTGCAACCCCAGCTGCAGGCCCAGCTCCTGGTACTGAAGGAGTCGGTCCATCCCCCATCCAGCCTGCCCACTGGGGGCACCCCTGATGCTCACTCCTCACTACTTGCAATGTGGCCCACTGGTGCCACATTGGGTGTGGTCCTCAACGCTCATCTTGAATCCATTATCCTCACAGAGCCACACAAGCATGGAGGGTCCAAGTCACATTTCTCTCCCATGTGAGACAAGGAGATAAACTCATCACCCACCCCAAGTGTAGACATCTCTAGCTCCCTGCAAAGTCCTGTATTGTGGGCCAGCTCCTTCCCACACATCACTAGTCAGAGGGCAACTGCAAGAACGTTCTCATAGCAGTGGTGACACGGTACATGGTTGGATCGAGACCAGTAGCCTCGAGAGCAGTACAGTTTGCAGTGAGGTGATGCTAAGAGGAGCGCTCCATCAAGAAGCTCCAGTACTCATGAACCTGAATCCCAGTAACACCACAGAGTTGGACCATTCACCACAGCAGCTGATCCTGTTACAGGCAAACAGGCATCTGCACATGAAGTTAGAAGGTTCTATCACCTGTCTCAGAGCTGATACCAAGAAGGCTAAACATTATAAAGGAAGCAACAGAGTTGAAAGGTGAGTGAACCAGTCTACTTCCACAGTGTCTGTAAACCCCTCTACTCGATATAGAATGTGGATTTTTAAAATAATAATTGATAATCATTAAAATAAAGTGTTAATTATAAATGTATTTTCAGCCCAAGATTAAATTATAGGTGATGACACTGTGGGACACTGGGTGCATCAGCTTCACGGGCACTGGAGGGGCCTTTACTTTGGCAGGGGTGGGGGTGGTGGCAGCCACAGCCTGAGGATCAAACACATACCCTGCCTGTGTGTGTAAATACAGTCTCACCGGAAGACAACACTGTAATATGTATTCATATTTTCTATGGAGCTTTCAAAGCAACACTGAGGAGATGAGAACAAGACTGATGGCCCACAAAGGCCAACACAGTTGAACTCTTTTTGCAGAAATTGTCTGCTAAATCTGCACCCGGGAGATGCAGGCAGAGTCTCATAGCATTTGGTAGAGCAGTGCCACTCAAAATTCAATTGCCTGTGGGTCTCCTGGGATTTCATGAAAATGCAGCCTCCTTGTCCAAAGGTGGGGAGACACTAATGGAACATTTCTGAGGCTCCAGGACTTGCTGCTCCTGCTGGCAGCTGGACCACTCTGTGGGTGGAGGCTACAGACGCTCCCACATCCTCACAGCTGTGTGGACCAGGGAATGGGTGTAAGCAAGCCCCTCAAGATGGGGGCCTCATGTGTCCTGAGAGCCTGAGTGCCTGTCTGCGTCCATCCTTCACTTTGGGTTTTCTGCCGGGTCATGGTCATTGAACCTCTAGGGAGCAGGTCATTCCTCATGAGCCCCAAGGCAGCAGCTCAGAGACTCCTGTACTTCCAGGTTGGGCCACCGGGAGAGACTCTGGAGGTCTGAGAGGGAGGAGAACCATCACCCTAGGCCCGCTCGACTGCCCTGTTAGGATGAGCCCTTCACGTGCCCAGCCCCTCTGTCTGGAACCATGCTGCACAAGCTTCTTGAAATGCTAATGTTTAATGATTTTTCTACATGAAGAAAATGAGCAGGAGGAATTTTCACAATGTCCAGATATGAGACATGAAATATTTGCAAATAAAGAGAACACAATTTGGAGCTGCTCAGCCACTGAAGGGAGACCTACAGGACATCACTTGTGTCCAGGAGAAGAACAACCAGAGCCAGATGTGCTGACATTTCATCAGTGGGCACCATCCAAGCAGGGGTTTTTTTTTTTTAATATTTTTCTAGTATTTTTTGACACAGGGAGAGAGCACAAGCAGTGGGGGAGCAGCAGACAGAGAGAGAGGGAGAAGCAGACTCCCCACTGAGCAGGGATACCGATGCAGGACTCGATCCCAGGACCCTGGGATCATGACCTGACCAAAGGCAGATGCTTAACCAACTGAGCCATGCAGGTGTCCCTCCAAGCAGGTCTTGTTCCAGAGTTCGAACATTGTGTTCCAGGGCTCAGTGCTGATGATGAAGAAGCAGGTGATGATCTGAGGGTAAGCACAGGGATGGAAGGTGGGTGGAGAATGGTTAGAAACAGTGGCTCCTGCTTTAAACACAGCACACATCCCAACCACCCATACTGGGGTGAGCAGCTGGGGATGCAGGCTGTGGTCCTCAGCCACAGCCCCACCTGAGCCCTGGTTGTTCTGAACTCAGGACCTTGTCCTGACCTCAGGGGCTCCTGTACCATTTTCTCATCCTTAGCCCTGTGGTCTCCAGGAAAACACTCAAGCTGAACCAGTGTGACCTATGGTCCTAACATAGCATTGGGGTGCTCTCTCCCAGGGGGTGCTATTTCAGAGGAGCCCTTCACCCTAGTTGGGTTAGTCCCAGAGCTGGGGTTCACCTTGACCATTCTCCCTGGTGCAGCAGCTGATAGTCCATGGAATCTGGTCAGGGCATGGGAAGGAGGGCGGTGGTCCCCTCCTCAATCCCTACCCCACAGGCTCTTTTCTCAGGGGGACCTGAGAAAGCCAATCTGGCAAAGGCCATGTTGCCCATCTCAATATTTTCCCCCTGAATTCTGTGGGGAAGGCACGTCAATAAAGACAAGAGAAGGGACATCCTGTGGCTTTCCCAGGAGACATGGACCCGTGTGGCCAAGAGCAATCTGTCATCACTGGGGCCCAAGGGCCAGGCAACTGGAATGGGGTGAGTGGGCAGAGGTGGTTCCCAGATTGGCCAGGGGGCTACAAGTGGACCCTGAGGATGGCCTGTCCAGCTGGGCTCCTATTGCAGCACCAGTGGTGGGGAGAGCAGTGCCTGCAGCTCCCTCACTCGTCTGTGTCCCTAGGAATGGCACTATCATCTGCTTCACCTCCACATCTGTCCTAAGCTGCATCCTCAGCTGTGTGACCCCAGGGATCTGCTGCATGTCTTACATTGTTCTGCCCTGAACTTGCTTGAAAGGGACAGTTGTCAATGTCTTCGTCAAATTTCCCACATCTTGTTCTTCTAAGCTGCAACTCCATGGAGAATGCCATTGTGTTCTTCTCCATGAACTGTAATAGACATTGACATTAATGTGAGAATCTGCCTCCTGGTCCCCTTGCACAGCTGCCAGTGTAGACCCATGCAGTGTGGGGAGAGCCCCAAACACTCCTCCATGTAGGGAGCTGCCTCTGGGCCTGGATCAGCTTGCTGGGGTTAAAGCTAAGCTTGGGGAATTCAAGCAAAGAGGCCTGTGTTTGCTGTGAGACCTGGGGTAGACGCAGGCCTGGTCACACACCATTTATACATTGCACCCTGCAGCCCCATGTTCCCAAATGCTTCAGGGAGACCCAGCCTGACTTCTAGCATGCTTCTGAAGCTACAACAGCACTCCAGGGGTCAGGTGCCTGGGAGGGTGTTGGCTTTGCAAGATTCTGCTGAATAATGTCAGCTCCAGGGTAGGAGACTCATCTACCACTCCATCGTCACAACTTTCACTTGCTTGACAACAGGAAGTTGGCTTGCAGTGCTGTGAACACTCATGTGAGCCCGAGAGTGCCCACTTTTGCACACAACCCTCATTCCCCCCAACTATGGCTTCCAGATACCTCTTGCCCTATTACAAAGTGAAGGTGGAATTTTCTGTATTCCTTCTTTACTCTTCTCTGCTCAATTCTTTCCATTCCTTACCCACCCCACTCCACACTTAATTACTCCCAATATCCTAACTCAATGTGAGTGCAGATCTAGGGATCCCAGAGGTCTAATCTGAGAGAGCTCGGGCAGCAGAACCAGACGGGACCTGGCACAGCAGGAGGCTGGAGCTCCGTGCAGGGTGGAGCTCCCACTGTCCTTCCCTCAGGTTCTTGGAGCAGAGGTCCAGAGGGAGAGAGGAATGTCCTGGGCCCTAACATGTGTACACACACACATGCTTGCACACATACTACACACACTCAGTGACACACTCATGCTACTCACACCCACACCTACACACACAGTCACACAAAGGAACACACACACTCACTCAAAAACTCATACTTACCCATATTCACACTCTCACACACTCATTAAAACACTCACACCCACACCTACACCTGACACACATACACACATGACCATACATGCTCCTGCTGCAGCCCACATGAAAACAACCTTCCTAGCTGCATTCTGTAGACACTCCATTACAAGGACACTGCCCTAGGGTTGAGAACCATGGTCTGGGAAGAGTATAGAATAGCATCCATCCCCGTAGGTGGAGACCACAGGGAGGAGCCCAGAGAAGAGGCCCGGAGGTCACAGAGGCTACTCTGGATGAGGGAGAATCCTTACTGCCTGATTCTCAGGCCCTTCTACCTCCCTTTCTTTTGGTATCTGTTCTGTTTCTGTTTGCATTTGTTTTGCTAGATTATTTCCTCAAACCCTCTCCTTGGACATTTTCTCAATCTATCTCCTCCTCCTCCTTTCTGTCTTGTTCTTTTCCTTATTCAGGATCTTTAGCGCCTCATAGTCTGTATTTGGTCATCAATAAGTAACTTCATCAAAGGATGAAAATTAGAACATCCTACCTGCAGTAGACATTGACCTGGGTATTTAAAATTTCAAATTTTTTCATAAAACTGAAACTAACTGTATAGTTTGTATTTTTGCTCTATTTTATGGACTTCAGAACAAGATCCCTAGATAGGACCCCCCACTCCTGACCCTGACTTCATAGCAAGTGCAGATTTTTAGGCCAGGGTGTGGTACCTACCAGCTCCCTCCTGGAATTCAGAATGCGCACCAACCTGTAGGCCTTCGTGTCATTGCTCTGCAAGTTGAATATGTGTAAGGCATACTCCACAGTGGCAAGGAAGTAGCTCTGCATGGCTTTTTGGTTATCACTCTCTGCTTCCTCTTCGGATCTTGACCCTTGAGTCACCAGGAACTGGGAACCTAAGAGAAGCAGCAGCAAGGCCCAGGGCAGAGCCTGCCCAACCTGCCAATGTGGCATGACTATGGATATCTGGGGACCCAGGGGCTTTGCCCTTCTAGTTCAAGCTCCCTCCAAACCTCCCTGGGCATTGGTCCAGTATAATAGCTTCAGAACAACTCCTCCTCTATATATCCTCCCTGCTATCACACATTGTCCCTTCCCACACATCACCCTGCCTCCCCATTCCAAGCTGCATAATTGCCTCCTATCCAGAGACAGGAACAAGCCCAGGCAGGGTGGGTTGGAAAGAACCAGCAATGGGAGGGAGGGGTCCCCTGTAGCTGAGTCCCTGCCACAACATCCCTCTCAGCTCTTCGCTGGGCAGAGATATTATTTAGATGCCCCAGAATCAGAGGCTGAAACAAGGACACAAGAGCAAGAGGTGGAAGTGGAAGGTGACCCCAGGACTTAGCAGTAGGGGGAGGGCCACTGAGATAAGGACAGAGCCAAAAAGGACGAGTGATCAAGAGCCAAATTTGGGGGAGACAGAGGCAACCTGCACAGAGAAAATGGGTATCTTTGGAAGAAAGAAGCACTGAGGTCTTGATGAGTACAAGTGTCCGTGTCCCCCTCAGCTCCCCAGCCCCCCTTGAGTAGTAGAGCAGAGAAGGCTCACTGGCTCCTGGGATGATGCCAGGCCAGGGGAATTCAGGGTCCTGGAACCAGAAGCTTCCAGCTGAGCTCACTGCATCTCCCTTTGGACTTCTTGGCCCCTGGATGTGCTGCCATGTGCTCAGCCTGGGGCCTGGCTGGATGATGCAAGCACATGCGCTCCAAAGGTGTTGCAGCAGAGGTGAGCCTTGACACACACTGGGCCTATAGATCCCTTTGTAGGAGTTTGCTCTAGAAGAGGGAGGATGGAGTGAGGGAGAAACAGACACAGAACAAAGCCAGTGAGCTCCCAGGGATGGCTGAGCTGTGACCATTAGGTGAGCATCAGTGCCCTCTCGTGGTGAAGGTCCTCAAGGCTCAGTGGACACCATTCCTGTGTGCAGAGTCTGGGTTCTAGAGAGGGACCCTCACAGCCTCCATCTGGAGCAGCAGATGGGGCTCTGGAAGGACTAAAGAGCACATCTTTCCAAACGAGGCTTCAGCTCTGTGCTTGTGAAAGGCTTCAGCGTTTGTCTGCCACTACTTGTGAACTCAGGGGGCCCAGAATGCCCTGAAAGGCCTGTGGACACCCAGAGCCCTGGGCCTTTCCCCAGCCAGAATTCTGACCCAGTCAGTCAGGCAGCCCTGGAAAGTTTGCATCTTCACCTCCTCCCAGGGACTTCACCTGCTCCCAGGGGATGCTGATGGTCCTAGTCTCTGGACCACATGTTGAGGAGCACAGTTCAGAGTGAGTCCCTGAAGGTGGGGGTGGGCGATGCAGCTAAATCACCAGGAGAAGTCACTCAAGTGTAAGGTAAGGTCTGGGGCTGAGGATGGTGTGTGGGAGCCACACTGGATCAGGGAAGGGGTCAGAACTCCATGTCTAGTGCAGGGTTTGTAGACCTCCCAGGCATCAGTGACCAGATGAACCTACAGACAGAGAGAAGACTGCTTTGAAGCTGACAGCCTGTCCTCACTGCACAAAGGTCCTCAGAGCTGGCATTCTTCCCAGGAATGGGGCCTCTCAAAACTCATTCTCACATTTAATCAATGCTCAAGAATTGATTGATTCATGTTTTTCTATTTTCAGTTATTGTGATAAGTGTTGTATTGTGTATTTCTTTTCTATGTATTTATTTTTATGCCTGATTATTCCTTCTTTGTAAGCAAAATTCCCAGGTATTAAATTGCTTCTTCTATATTGTTTCACTTAAGAATTTTGAATTCACATTGTGTAAATGTCCAATGTAATTGTTCTTAAAAATTGTTTTCAGTTCTTATATTTATGATGATTCTATCTACATTGGCTTCTCCAGACATTAAGCAATTGCTTTATCTCCTGATAAGCCCCAATCTCAATCACTCCCCTTTCCAGAAATGCTCTGTACCTGTTCACCCATCCTAGAAGCCCCTCTATCCTTGAAACAGGTCACTTGGTGTTATTTTCCCCCTTCAAAGTTATCCTATAGCTTTATGCTGCCATATATGTTTCTATGTCATGGAAGTATTCTTATTTTCTTCAGGAATGTGGGGGGTCATGCTGAGGCTCCCACACAGGGCAGGAACTTTAGGCAGCTGAGGTAGGTCCCTGTGTGCATTGGACAGTCCCCCTCCCAACCCTGGTCTCCCACCCCTGTACTCCTCTAACATGATATCATCCCAAGAGTCAGTGAATCTGGTCTGCTCCACTACTCAAGGGGGCTGCGACCCAAGGGGGACAGAGTCACCTGGACCTGTCAAGTGTTCAAAACCTCTGGTCCTTCTGATGACAATGCATTTTCTCTATGGAGGTTGCTTTCCATCTCCCACAAGGCTGGCTCTTGGCAATTCTTCCTTTTCAACTCTGTCCTTATCTCAGTGGCCCTCACCCTACTGTTGTGTCCTGGAGTCACCTTCCACTTCTACCTCTTAGTCTTGTGTCCTTGTTTTAGCCTCTGATACTGGGGCCTCCAAATGATATATCTCACCAGTGAGGTGGTGATGGAGGGGTTGTGGCTGGGACTCAGCTACAGGGGACCCCCTCCCTCACACTGCGGTTCTTACCAACCCACCCTGCCTGGGGCTGGTCCTCTCCCTTGGAGAGCAGGCACATTTTGCAGATTTGGATGGAGAAGGCAGAGTAACAGATTGAAGGAACAGAGTGTAATAACAGAGAGGAGGCCTGGAAGCAAGAGTTATTTTGGAGCCAGTGAATTGGAACAATGCCTAAGGGACACTTGGGTAGGACCCTGAGCTGGGAAGGGCAAAGGCCATGTGTGCCCAGACCCCTGCAATTATGACACACTGGCAGTGTAGGTGGGCCCTGCCCTGGGCCATGCTCCTGCTTCTCTTAGTTTTCCAGCTCCTAGTTATTCACAGATGGAATTCCCAAGAGGAGAAAGACAGTGACACGGAAAGTCATTTCCCTGCCACTGTGGAGTATGCCTTACACATATTCAACCTGCAGAGCAAGGACATGAAGGCCTACAGACTGGTGCGCATCCTAAATTCCTGGAAGGAGCAGGTAGGTAACCATATTTTTTGACATAATGACCTGCACTTGCTATAGTCAAGGCTAGGGGATCTTGTTCACCATCTGAAGTCCATAAAATACAGTGAAAATACAACTGTCCAGTTAGTGTTAGTTTTATAGAAGAAATAATTTGGAAATTAAACACCCTAGTCAGGGTCCATTCACATGTAAGACATATTTTCAATCTTCATCATTTTATGACATTATTTAATGACTAATACTTCAAAATCTGGACTATGAGGTGATAAAGATCCTGAGCAAGAAAAGGCCCAAAGAGGAGATCAGTTGGGGAAATACTCTAAGAAAACAAATACAAAAAGATCATTAACAAACGGAGGAACAGACATAGAGAGAGGTGGCTTGAGAATCCAGGGAGTGAGGGTTCTTCTTCATCCAGAGCAGAGCTTCTCTGGTCTCTTCCCTATGGTCTCCACCTAAGGGAATAGATGTTACTCTACACTCTTCCCAGAGCATTGTCCTTGTAATGGGAGTGTCTACAGAATGCATCCAGGAATGCTATTTTCACATGGGCTACATCAGGAGCAGGTCTAGTCATTTGTGTATAGGTAGGTGTGTGTAAGTGTGTGTGTGTGTGTAGAGGTGTGTGTAAAGGTGAGTATGAGTAGTTATGAGTGGGTATATGTCCATGAATGAGTGTGTGTATGAGTGTGTTTGAGTGTATCAATGAGTGTGAGAGTGTATATTGTAAGTATGAGGTTTTGAGTGAGTATGTGTCCGTGAGTGGCTGTGGGTGTAGGTGAGGGTGTGTCAGTGAGCATGTATAGTATTGTGAAAGTGTGAGCACATGTGTAAGCACACCCATTTTGTGTTAATGTGAATGTGTCTGTTTGTGTGTGTAGGTGTGGGTGTAAGTGAGTGTGTCAGTGAGCATGTGTATGTGTGTGTGTGAGTGTGTATATGTGCGTCCTAGTGTATATGTGTGAGTGTGCTTGTGTTGGGGGCCCAGGGCATTCCTCTCTCCCTTTGGACCTCTGCCCTGAGAGTCTGAGGAAAGGACAGTGGGAGCTCCACCCTGCATGGAACTCCAGCCTCTGTGAACACTGCCGGGCCAGGTCCCATCTGGGTCTGCTGCCTGAGCTCTCTCAGGCTGGACCTCTGCTCTGGGCTCCCTAGATATGCACTCACACTGAGTTTGGGGTGGGGGAGTAGTGGAGGATGGAGTAGGGGTATGGATGGAATGAAGTAGAATGGGGTGGAGAAGAGTACAAAAAATTTTAGAAGGCACTTTCTAATAGGACAAGAGGTATCATTGTGTGTGTGTGTGCGCATGTGTGCACATGTGAGTGTTCCAGCAGCACTGCAAGGCATCTTCCTGTCCTCAGGCAGGTGAAAGGTGTCACAATGGGGCTGTAGAAGAGTCTCCCACTCTGGGGCTGGCATTACTCAGCAAAATCTTGCAGAGCAAACACCTTCCTAAGCACTCAGTACCTAACCCCGGGGAGTGCTGTTGTAGCTTCAGAAGCATGCTGGAAGTCAGGCTGGGTCTCCCTGGGGCACTTGCGGACATGGGGCTTTAGGGTGTGATGTATGAATGGTGTGTTCCCAGGCCTGCATCTACCCTGGGTCTCACAGCAAACGCAGGCCTCTTTGCTTGAATTCCCCAAGCTTGGCTTTACCCCCAGCAAGCTGTTCCAGGTCGAGCTCCCTACGGGGAGGAGTGTTTGGGACTCTCCCTACACTGCGTGGATCTACACTAGCAGCTCTTAATAGAACCAAGACAGGTGTTCCCACTGTAATGTCTCAATGTACCACAGATAGAAGACGACCTGGCGTTCTCCATGGAGCTGGAGCTTCGCAGAACCAAATGTGGGAAATTTGACGAAGACATTGACAACTGTCCCTTTCAAGAAAGCTCAGAGCTGAACGATGTAAGACACACAGCAGATCCCTCGGGTCACAGAGCTGAGGCTGCAGCTTGGGACAGACGGGAAGGTGAAGCCATTCCTAGGGACACAGACGAGTGAGGGAGCTGCAGGCCCTACCTTGCTCACTGCTGGTGCTGCAGTAGGAGCCCAGTCAGACAGGGACAGGCCATCCTCAGGGTGCACTTGTAGCCCCTGGTCAATCTGGGAACTAACTCTGCCCACTCACCTCATTCCAGCTGCCTGGCTCCCAGGCCACACCAGTGTCAGATTGCTCTTGGCCATGAGGGTCTAGGTCTCCTGAGGCTGAGACAGGATGCCCCTTCTCTGAGCTTTATCCACCTCTCTTCCTGCCTTCAGGAGAAGGAGCATGTTGGGGTGGACAACATCACCTTTGCTCCTGTGGCTCTTTTGAGGTTTTGCTGGCTCTGTTGAGAGCCTGAGGTTATGAGGGTTGAGGAGCAGCCCATTGCCCTCCCTCTCATGCCCTGACCTGGGTCCCACTGATTTATAAGCTGTTGCCCCAGGGGAAAAGGTCAAAGTGAACCCCAACTCTGGGACACCCCATCTAGGGTGAGGGGTTCCTCTGAGTGAGATAGCACCCCCTGGGAGAGAGCACCCCAATGCTGTACTAGGGCATAGGTCACACTGGGTCAGCCTAAGTGTTGCCCTGGAAACCACAGGGCTAAGGATGAGGAATTGGCACAGAAGCCCCTGAGGTCAGGACAAGGTCCCAGGTCCAGAGCTAGCAGGATTCAGGTGGGGCTGCACCTGAGGGCCACAGCCTGCCTCCCCAGGTGCCTGTCACCCCAGGGTGGGTGTTTGGGATGTGTGCTGTGTTCAGAGTTGGATTGTTTCCCACTACTCTCCACCCACCCTCCATCCCTGTGCTTGTCCCCTCAGACTTTCAACTGCTTCTTCACCATTGGTACTGTGCTGGGAAACAACCTTCTATCTCTTGCACAAGATCTGCTTGGAGGGCTTCCACTGAATGATACCATACCCTGCCTGGCTCTGACTGTTCTCCTGGATCCAATGTTTCTCTGTAGGTGTCTCTTCAGTGGCTGTGCAACACCAGGCTCTGTTTGTTCTCTATCTGTGTCTCTGTTCTCTGTCTGGGTCTCACTCCAAGGCATTATGGAAATTCTTCATTGTCCATTTTCATCCTGTAGAATAGATCATTAAACATTAGCATTTCAAGAAGCTTTGTGTGGCATTGGTTCCAGACAGAGGGGCTGGGTAAGTGAAGGACTCATCTTAACAGGGAAGTCAGGTGGGCCCAGGATGGGTTCTCTTCCCTCTCAGACCTCCAGGGTCATCTTCCAGGTGGCCCAACCTGGAAGCCCAGGTGCTTCTGTTTCTGGGCTCACAGAGGTACAATGACCATGACCCAGCAGAGTACTCAGAATGCAAGATAGACCCAGACAAGCCCTCATGCCCTCAGGACACGTGTGGCCCTTGTTTTGGGAATCTTCTAAAAGAGGACTTGGCAAACTTTTTCTGTAGGTGTAACTATTTTGGCCTTTTCGGGCCATATGGCCTGTTCTCAACTCCCTAATGTTGCCTTGAAAGTACCATAGACAATACGAACACAAATAAGAGTGTTGTGTTCCAGTCAGACTATATTTATACATACAGACAGGGGCAGCGCTTGGTCTGGGGTCATGGTTCCCCTCTTCCAACCAGCCATCCCTCCGGTGTCCATGCAGTTGGACCACCCAGTACCTAACACTTCCCATTCCTCCTCAAGATCTGCACCTCCCCCAAGTTCTGCTCAGGGCTTTCTCTGTGCAAGTGGCACTCCATCTGCAGAGTCAGCACGCCTCATTGGAGAGACATAGGGCTCAAGGATGACACTCCAACCCCAGGTAGGATGGCGACAGTCTCCCAGCTCCACAGAGGTTGTCAGAGGGAAGATCCACAGGGTTCTCACACATTCCAGTAGGACAAAACCCATGGCTGCTCAGTGACCCATAACAACAGCCACGTTGACTTTCTCCCTCCTCTGTCTCCCTTCCCCTTTGTGCCTCTGTGACCATCTCCCAAATGAACTACTTGCACCCCCCAATTTGCATCACAGGGTCTCCTTGGGGACTTAGAGCAGACATGTGGTGTTAGATATCTTTAGGGCTCATTCTCCATAGAGACCTGGATGGGCTTCCCAGGATTCCAGGCAGAGCCATGGGGAGACCCTAGGGGTGGGTATCCTCCCTGACAGCTGAGCATCACTAAGCATGGACATAGCTGTGCTCTTGTCCCATAGCCATCCTGCCTGGTCCCAGACTTCAGGATATTTCTGAAGACCCTCCTACCATCCAACCTCCTGTCTACTCCCACACTGGTCTGTCCCAAGTTGTGCCTCAATCAGCAGAAGGAAGCATAAAGGGCGCTCTTTACCCAATGTGATCCCAGCATGTTTTCCATAGTCAACCCCACTAATTCTACTGAAGTCCCACAAGGTAGCTCCAGGAGAGGGTCTCCTGTATGTTCAGCCCAATGGTGGGGGGACCTGTCCAGGCCCTTTTGTGGGCTCACCTTACTTCCTGGGGCTGGGAAAGCAGAGCCCACAAGGCGGGTATCAAATCATGGCTCCTGGTAAGGACTCACTAAATCCTGCCTCAGATCACACTTGTGGGGCTTTGTTAATGGTTCCACCCCTCCCCTTCCCATGGAAATCTACAGAAAGTGGGGGTTTTGAGGGAGGGGGGAAAGATGGCGGAGGAGTAGGGGACTCTATTTCAACTTGTCCCCGGAATTGAGCTGCATATCTATCAGACTACTCTGAGCACCCACGAAACCAGCCTGAGATGTAAGAAGATCTGGATCTCTACAAACAGAATATCGCAGGCAGTTGGTTTTGAGGTACTAAGCGGAGAGCCGTGATTCTGCTGATTCCCACTGAGCCCATCCCCCTCCACAGGGGCGCAGGGCAAATCCGCCCAAACAGGGTTGCCTGAATAACAG